GATCGTGTACTATAAGTCTTACGACAAATGTAATCTACACAACCACTTGAAAATCTCAGCTTTTTGGCCTATTAGACGGAGTATGTAATACGTAGTGTAAAAGCCTAAGTATTGGGATGAAAAAAAAGCCAAAATTACCATATTGGGACATGTATAGTATCAAATACTTCTTTAAATAAAAGCATACATCTGCTAATTGAATTAAAGAATTGAATTTTGAAATACTTAAAGAACATATAAAGAAAGAAACAAGGGAATAAAAAAGAGACAGGGAATCTCATTTCGCTGTTTTAGAAAATCAGATTGAACAATGCAACCCTGGTCAAAGCAATTACTAAGGATTTGAAATTTAGACACCCCCAAATTAAATGGAGGGGACCTTATCAAGAACCGATACAAGGAATGGTTTGCATAAGCAGATCCTGAGTTCAACGTCCCATTAAATCATGAATCAAATGACAACTAAGATGGGGTACATGTCGCTCATCGTTCCTGATTTTCGGCTCAATTTCGTGTTTATGGAAAAATAATATTTGATACTCAACTTCTTCGGTGGCAGTTTTTTTATGTAGTCATTTAGAAAAAACATGGCTTAATGATCGCAAATACTATTTTACTCCTTTAGTTGACCGGTTACAAAATAAAGTATCATACTATTTTTGCCACCGCCATTGTTTGGGTGGCATTATTTTTAACTACAGCCTTATCAGGGTAATCAGCTAACCATCCAATCTGACAGGATAGGCATTTATAGGTCTTTTATGTTATTTTCAGTTTTTTAATTTCGGTTTTTTTATTCATTAACGAAGTAATCACAGCTACCAGTGTCCGTCACTGCGGACGCTCGAAATGCAGAGAAATCACACACGGGTTATAAAACCTATCGCGGTATACCTGCACTAGAACGTTTACAGCCAACTATCGTATAACCTTGTCCCTTAAACGTATAGTATTGCCCTATAACTCTTCATTTTCTTGCTTTGTAATTGGATAGATTGTTAATGACAACCCTAATGGTAGGAAACGATTGCCTCCTTTTTTTTATTCCGACAAAAAAACTTTCTCAGACCCTGTTTTGTTGTTAGTCAAAGCACAAGTTTACAATACTCGTTTTAACCGAGAGGGTAGAACAGTCATTCAAAAAGTAAGGAAGAGAAACTATACCAAGAGGTTGAGGAGACTGTTGAAGACGAGCATGCTCGCAATTAAGTTTAATTTAGTAGACGCTTAGTCAGTTTGCTAGTACGGACAGTTTCAAAATAGATCCTTCCAACACTTTTCTTTCAATCGCATTTTGTCGCTCGTTGCTTCTTGGAAAACAGCCTTGCCTCAAGAAACATATTTGACGAGCGAGTGCCGTGACTTTGTTGATATTATCCTTAAAATTATTTGCTAGTGGGTGCTGATATAAGTTTCCGTTAGGATACGGTTAGAGTAATAACAAATCAATACATTTAAGACCACATTAGCTGGACTGTATAGCATTCTTTATATCCTTTGAAAGCTGCTAATGAAAACAAACAGATTTGAAAACAATGTATTTATGCCCCACCATTTATAGAATTACATTCTTAACAATGGTATTTAGGCAAAAGTGGTTGATAAGCAAACTATCAGACATTTTGCTGTTACGCAGTTTTCTCGACTGACGAATGGAGTATTTATGTGTGATGCTCTTGTTAATAAAACCATACAAGGTACATTTAAGCCATTTTCTTCTGCATAATTACTTAGTAGATATGATATCAAAATAAGGACACAGTCCAGATGGAACCTGTTGAGAATTGGCTATTTCTCTACCACTTTGACTGTAATGTTATGCTTAAAACTATTAATGATTGATTCGAATCGAGTCCTTTCGACGTTTACATTTGTGGTAATATCCACATAATTATTCAAAACTTGCAAAAAAAAAAATTTGAATTTGCAGAAGAATGTATCATCACATGTTTTGTTGTTTCGTTGCTGGAGCTGGTAGACCAAAGACATGAAAGATAAATGTTTATTGGTATTTTTTGGATTCAAAATAACTCGTGTTGGTGTCTCTTGAAAAGTTTAAGATACGAATAAAATATTACCAAAGTAGGATTAGAAGAGAATAGTTTTACGGAAACAAATTGCATAAAAAAAAATTGAACTAGTTAAATTTCTTGTTTAATTTGATTGATGTTAAAGTTAACTGAAGTTTTAGAAGTGGAAAAATAAAAATTATTTATAATCAATGGAAAAAACAATGCCGAGGATGCTACTCATAACAACTTTAGTATGCTATCATTAACAATATCTATATGTTGTATTCAGTGCTACGCAAAGTCACTGGCGAAATAACAACGTAACATGTCTTACGTTTGGACACTGGCGTTTTGATACCGTGAGACTTTACATAAGTGGCCGTCTTTAACGTTTTTTTTATGTAGTCCATGATATAGCTATCATTTATCAGTAATGTCAAGATATGAATTTATCGTATGTATAATTTTTTTGTGTGATTTAGCACACTCGTATTGTTGGTGTAAATTTTAAAATTTCCAGTAGTGCTTTGAGGTAATTTTAATTACAAAGCAGTTAAAGAACTAATTGAGATTCTGCATACTATGTTTATTTCAAGAAAAATAGCTTTCAAGTATCTATATAAAGTATCAGTGACTTTGCAACTGTCCTTAGATCAAACGTTGCTAATATCATCCGAATATTTACGTTTCTATCTTTGTTGCCTATTTCATATATGTGTTGTATCCACAGTAATTTTTATTTTTAGACACTTGTATTGTTACTTTACTTTTTTTTTTGTTCATAGTCTATTCAGCCTTACCCATTGTTTTTTTTGACTGCAATCTTATTCTTTATATATATATATAAAAGGACTTCAAAAATATTAGTTTGTTTCTTACATAAATCTGAGTAAGTCTTAATACTTTAAGTCCTAATAATTTAATTTTTATTATAATTACCTGTAATAGTCTTCCGTAAATCAGCATTGTTAGCTATTCCATCTTATATTTAATTATACCCCTAAGAATACCACTCTTATCTGATTTTGTCGTATAAATTACCCTGTTATACATATATTATCTTTTTTAGTTGACAACTGTACTGTTTGGTACTCACTTTTTTAAGAATTTTTATCTTAAACTCTATCTTTATTTGATTGTACTACTTTCAGTGAAACTTGCCAGTAACAGTATTGTTGCAGCCAATAACAATGTGGCTAGTTGTTACACAGGATAGGATCTTTCCTATAAATACGCTTGTTTGTTTTCATTTGTTAATAAATATTCTTTAGTTTTGTCTTCACCTAAATTTGGGATTTATCTTGTAATTGATACTAGTAGTATTTCCTCCGCTTTTTGTTGCTGTTTGTTGTCTATTGTAAATTATACAATCACATCATCTTCTTGCATAAACCCGTCGTAAACTCTTTTCTCTTTGACATCTAAGAACTATATTCTCTTCTCATCTTTTACTGTATTATTATCGATTTGCATATTATTGTCTTATATATATATTTTCTCGTCTAAGATCACTACAGAAATACTCTTAATAAATAATAAAACTAAGTTGACAACTAAAAGTCTGGTGCTCACTATCACAATTGTTATATAATAATAATTGTCCCTTTTTAAATCTAAATCCGTACTAGCCCTATATCATTTTGGTGCTCACTAACAGGGGTCTCTCTCTTTAAATATCTGTAAACCTTAAAAAACCTTAATTCGAACAATCATGAACTCCTTTTCTGATAACACTGTGTTGGGGTATCAACATCATGCTTCCACCACTCATTCTAATAACCCCCGTAATCGCTTAATTGAATTTTTTGGTGATGAAGGAGAGGATTATCGTCATTTTGAAAAAAGACTTGAATCTTACTTTGCTTTATCGGACATTACTGCTGACAGGAGAAAGATCGTTATTTTACAAACCCAATTACAACATGGTGCTCGTGTTTTCTTTGACAATTTGATCGAAGATGATTCTTCATTATCTACCAGTACTTATTCTTCCTTGGCTGCTGCTTTGCGTGAAGAATACATTACCCCTCAACTCATTCGTCGTTACCAACTTGCATTCAATAGCATGGGACAAGGTACCGAAGAACACCCTCGTGTCTATCTTGGTCGTTTGAAAGAAGCTGCCAAACTTGCTGATATTAAAGATGCTGTTCAAATCAAAATGCGTTTCCAAACTGGTCTTTTGCCTTCTATCATTATCCAATGTAAATTAATGGGTGCGGAAACGTTTGGTGAATACTTGAAAAGTGCTGATGGTTACTGGAACGCCTATCATCAAAAGACAATTTCTATTGTTGATAATCCTTTTGCTGTTCGTACTCCTGTTCGTCCTTTGGAAGTTATGCAACCTAATGCTGCTGCTATCGTTCCTGTGTCACCTGTCCTAATTGAATCTCCTTCCATTCGTAATCTTACCAATAGTATGAGCGGATTGCATTTGAACAATCTCGAAAGTAATACTGTTACCGCCTCTTCCGATGTGATGAAAATTGAAGATGATAAAATTAAGTCTTTTATTGAAGAAGGAATCAAACGTCACTTTGTGCCGCCACTATTAAGCCTACTGCCACTTACAATAATTACAATAACAATGATCACCGTAATAATTCCCGTTATAACAACAATGACAATTACCGCAACAATGACAATTATCGTAACAATGAGAACTATCGTAATGAAATTTACCGTAATAATGACAACTATCGTAATAATTCGGACAACTATCGCAATAATCAAGACAATTATCGTCAAAGTGGTTACCAAAATCAACGTCAACAGTCTGATGCGCCTCGTCAGGATGGTCCTAGCAATGATGCTCGAAGAAATCCAAGACCGCCTTTTCCCTCCAATGATTATCGTAATAATCAACAACAAGGGTCTTCAAAAAACTAAATGGGTCGATTGCAGTTAACACTGATGGTCAATCGAACATCCCATATCAACAAAAATCCATCAACAACAATCAGTCATTACAAGTAATGCTTGACCATGATTCATCTCAACATGATCATCAACCAACCTCCTATCAGTATTCTTATGAGTCCCATCCATCCAGAGAAGACTTGTATGCTGCTTTACGTACCAAAGATAGTAAACCTGAAGCCCATGTAACTCACAAAGACAGAGGTATTCACAAGAAAGGTGCACTTCTGAAGAAACCTTCAAAGTCCAATTTAGTTAAAACCTTTGGTAATCCGAACCACATACAAAAGATTGTTTCCTTTGCTCCTCCTGCACCTGCACCTGCTCCGGTTCCCACGTCTTATCCTTCTCAAGATATAACCATGGTTGAGTTCGCTCTACCACAGGCTCCCGTATTGACAAAGGTCTTTGTTCCTAGTGATAAGAAGAAGACTAAGAGAAAGAGGGTAAAACCTCAGATCTCGTATGATATCTAAGAAGTTCTTGAACAACCCGCCAATATCAAGATTAAGGAATTAATCGCGATTAACCCTGCCATTCGAAGAGATTTACTTCATGCATGTCGTAATGCAGCTATTTCTATGGATCCCAAGTACAATGTGGAACAACACTTGAGTTATAGAGAAAGTGTTGAGGAAGAACGAAATTTGACGGCGGTGTACACTCGATTCGTAATTGATGAAATTGAAATGAAAACTCTTATCGATTGTGGAGCGTCCAAAACTTGTGTGTCAAAAGCCTTAATGGAATCGTTAGGCTATACGATTGATGGTCCTTCGGCTAGTGTATTCACTCTTGGGAATGGATTGAAACAAGCATCGATGGGTGTTATTTATGATGTACCAATCCTGGCTTATGGTGTTGTGGTCCCTTCTACTGTAGACGTTTTGCTGTATAGTCCTGTTCCTTTGGTTATCGGTACCAACTGGATGCTTCGAGCCCATGCCATTATTAATTTTTCCAAGTGAATTATGACTGTCAATTATAAGCAATAACATACTGAAGTTCCGATACAATGTGTGTTGAAACAAGACCCAGTTCAACCAGTACCCACCAAGCCTTCTACCATTATCTCTGAAAGTTCTGAAAGTGAAAGCTATGAGGATAGTTCAAGCAGCTCTGATGAATCCGGGAGTAGTGAATCTGATGAGGATCTCATGCTTATTACCGAGGATAGTGTAAGTGAAGAGTTGTATATGTTAAAGGATGATATCAACTCGGGGAGTGTGGTAATTTTAACAGCTGGCAATGATACAGTGCGTCCGCCCTCAATTGGACAATTTTTTGAAAACATTGGTCGGATTTTTGAAAAAAATTGGTCACGTTTTTGAACTTTTTTGGTCAAAAATGTGAAATTCAATTGGACACTTTTTTGAACTTCAATTGGTCACTTTTTCGAAAATCGTTTGGCCACTTTTTATAAAATGAATTGGTCATATTTTTGAAAATTATTTATTTTGGTTAGGTGTGAGCTATATAGGAATTTTTTTGAGACAATTATCGAATTGATTAACTGAGTGTTGAATAAATGCTACAAGGTGTTCAACTGGTACACTTACACCAGCTTCAGTTATGCGTGTAGTTAGGGACTCTACGTCACTAAGCTTATTGCGCTTGACCTTTCCCTTTACAATAGCCCAGAATTGTTCGATTGGATTAAGTTCTGGTGAATATGGGGGGAGGTATACCGGAGTATAACCTCTTTTTACAATTACAGGGTCAATTACCCCAGGGACGTGGATTGGAGCATTATCCATAATAATGAAATAACCTTTCATTTCAGGAAACTCATCCATGATATCCATGGTATTGATTAAAAACTGAAGATAGTGGCCACCTGTAGTACCTTTGGTGGCAGATAACTTGTCCTCAGGTGCCTTTCTTTTTGTTGTCCCTACAACGTTTGTCCTCTTAAAATTGCTGATTCTATCATACCTACGTTAACAACAACGATAGCTGATATAGCACCAATCACAGTGTGAGACTTCCAGCTGAGGGTGTTGTGATTATTATTATAAATTGGTAGTCGGTTTAAAGTGGTTTAAGTAGGAGTTTGTAAAGTTTGTAGTGAGCACCAAATCAAGTTATTAGGTTTGATTACGCCTTTTTATGTGTAGTTAATTGAAGTAGACTATAGGAAAGTAGTAATACTGTTTGAACTTTTACGTCAAGTTGAGTATAAATATAAGAAATCAATAGTTTTGATTTAGGAAGATAGATAAATTATGTCTTCAAAAGTAGAAGAATAATATATAAGAGTTAAGGGATGGTTTACTTAGACTGTTTGAAGTATGTATGTTTCTTTTATCAGATGTCTACTATACAAGGTCTAATAATTTATAGAACGTTTCTTTTGACAGAGGTTTTCTTATAAATTAGAATAAACAAAATAAATGGAGGAACTTAATCTCGACTGTTTAAAGTATGTAGGTTTCTTATTACAGAGGTTTACTATACAAGATCGAATATTATACTGAAGGTTTCTTATTACAGAGGTTTTCTAGTATATATGTATTTAAGTTTTTATGAAGTGAAGTTTTTATTACGACTGGTTGAAGTATGTAGGTTTCTTATTACAGAGGTTTACTATACAAGATCGTGCTATATATTGAAGGTTTCTTGTTAAAGATGTTTTCTAATATATAAATAAAAGAGAAGAAAATAAAGAAGAAAATAAAAAAAGGAAAAGAAAATAAAAAGATAAAGAGCGATAAACGACTCTGAAGGAAATAAGTATTAATTTGAGATAAGAGAAGTCTGAATTTTATTATTTGAATTTTGGAAGGATATTTATATTTGTTATAAGGGCTTGTGTGACCACATGTTGTTTTTGATAAGGGATTTAAAGGGTGTTACAAAGTCGCAGACTGGATCTTTACATTATTGCTTCAGTACCTTTTTGAGACCAACTAGGACTACAACGCATGTTGATATCGAATTTTGTTTCATCGACAAAGATACAATTGTTCAGATAGTCCGTACCAGTTCCGATCCACTGCTCAACCCAGTTAGCACGAGGCCGAAGGGTTGCTTTTTTATTTATACCAACTGGATGGCGACTAAAAACTTTGATGCTTAGATTGAATTGTTCCCTAATAAACTCGGCTACTCTTGTTTTTTTAATTTGTAGGCCCTCCAAGGTCGCTGTCAAATTCTCTACTGCATCCTGGATTGTTGCAGAAGCATCTTCATCAAAACATTGTACAAAAATACGTTTTATGCCTTTCGTCTAATTGGCTAAATGGTCTGTCGGAGCAAAGGTTCATTTTTATTGCAGGTATATTTCTTTCAGGACCGTCCTCATAAGCCTTTTTCCACTTGCGTGCCGTGTCATAATTTACGTTTGCGGCCTCAGCTACCTGTTTAGGTTTCATAAGTTTCTCTTTCAAAAAATAAACATATCGCTTACGATCTTCAATAGTATAAACATTGTATTGAAGAGTCCGTTCTTTTTTAGGAGAAGCCTCCTCCATCGTAATGTCATTTGAGATTGGCATTTCAAATTGAATGTCTTTGCTTTTGATAAATTATCCAAGATCAGTCAATTTCTTTAAACGAAAAAATGATTCTTCAACAAAAGAAGGTGCTTCTTGACCTCTATCGTCTCTAATATTTCCAGTACCGTCTTCATAAAAAAATTGCATGTTAAACTAAAATATTTAAAGTATATGTGAAAAATGACCAAATAATTTGACCAACTCATTTTCGAAAAAGTGACCAAATGAAATTCGAAAAAGTGACCAATTGAAGTTCAAAAAAGTGTCCAATTGAATTTCACATTTTTGACCAATTTTTTTCAAAAATCCGACCAACATTTTCAAAAAAGTGTCCAATTGAGGGCGGACGCACTGTATGTTTCGAATTTCTACTTCAAACAGCAAGTGTCTCTTACCGGCCAAAACTCAAAGAACTTTCTTTGTTGATAAACCCGTAGAGACAACTCCTGATTTAATTTACGATTTCCAATCACAACATTCTCAATTTGAGAGTAGTTTAGATAGATACAATGATAAGTATCTTATTAAGTTTTTGTCTTGGATAATCAATTCCAAATTACGATCATAAATAATTCAGGAATAAGCATTGAAATACCTGCGAATGAAATGCTTGGGTGTATCAATTGGTATGATCCTGCTGTGGATTCGGCTGTTGGATACGATATGCTCAACATATTGACTCAAGAAGATCAAGACCTTGCTCATCCTTATACTGAAGTACTTACGTCGTCAAAACCCCTTATTACTCTAGAACAAATTAAGGAAAAGATCGAAGTTGGCGATATCAATGATCAATTGAAGGAACGTTTTTTCTCCTGGGTCCAAGAATTCCAGGATATTTTTGATTGGGATAAGAATACCATTGGCCGTACCATTCTTATGAAACATCGCATTATTACTGAAGATGTCATGCCCATTCGCCATCGACCATATCGTTTGAGTCCTGAAGAAAGTGACTATTTGGAGAAGGAGTTGAAGAGGTTCTGTGACTTGGGAATCATCCGGCCTTCATACAGTCCTTAGGCTTCTCCTGTCATGCCGGTCAAAAAAGCTAAGAAGATTGTAAAGGATGGTCAAGTACAACCCCCTCAAGAGTACCGGTTGGTGATTGATTACCGAAAGTTGAATGCAGTTAGTAAGCTTGACGCGTATAGTTTGCCTCGGGTCGACGGTTTGTTGGATTAACTCGGTAAATCCAAAATCTTTAGTGCTTTAGATATGACCTCGGGTTTCCACCAAATTCCAATGGAGGAGGACAGCATCGAAAAGACTGCGTTTGCTACAAAGTTTGGTAGTTTTGAATACGTGACGCTGCCAATGGGTCTCTGCAATAGCCCTTCGTCTTTTCAACGTCTAGTGGATATCGCTTTTAGGCCACTAATTAACAAGTTTCTGGTGTGTTACATTGACTATCTTAATATTTACAGTAATACGTATGATGATCATGTAGATCATATTAGGCGGGTCTTTGAATGTTGTCGTGTTGCCAAGCTCACATTTAATCCAAGCAAGTGCAAATTCTTCAAGACGTCACTCAAATTTTTGGGTTACATTGTCACCTCTGAAGGGTTGAAGACCGATCCTGCAAAATTGGAGAAGATTGCAAGCCTCCCTCTCCCAAAAACTATAACGGATGTTCGTAGCTTCATTGGGATTTGCTCTTATTACCGTAGGTTTGTACCTAACTTCGCGGCGATTGCTAGGCCCTTGCATGAACAGACCAAGAAGGACAACAAGAAGCCATGGTCTGAAGAAACTACTTTGGCGTTTGAAACTTTGAAGAAGGCCCTAATCTCTGCTCCGGTACTAATGAGACCAGACTTCTCAAGAGAGTTTGTTTTGGTGACTGATGCCAGTATCAAAGGTCTTTCTTGTATTCTGACACAACTCGATGATGAGGGTCGTGAACATCCCATCGCGTACCTTAGTCGTGCCGTCAGTAAAGAAGAAGCAAACTATGGTATCTCTAAATTGGAATGTCTAGCTGTAATCTTTGGTGTGAAAGCATGCAGACCTTATTTGCTTGGCCGACATTTCATGATCATTACGGATCATTCCGCCATCAAAGGTCTCCTTAACACGAAGAATCCCTCTGGTATCTTGATACGATGGATTAACCTACTTGGCGAATATCAATACACTGTCAAGTACCGTCCTGGAAGAGTGAACGAATCAGCCGATTTCTTGTCACGTCTTGGTTATTGATCCTGATATTCAACTATCCGACCAACGCGTATAATGTCGTTAAACTTTAAACCCAAGACCAATAAGCATTATGTCTCAAAACTATTTTTTCTTCAACCACTTTCAGATAAATTGTTGTAAAACTTTACATTGACAAGACCAATAAGCATTATGTCTATAAACTATTTTTTTCTTCAACCAATTGTAAATAAATTGTTGTAAAACTTAATTTTTCATCATGACCAATATAACTGAAGTCAATAAAAGCTTCTGTTACCTTCTAATTTTAAAACCCCTCAAAAACCAATTCAATAAACAGTACAAAAATTATAAACCAAAAACATCAAAACCAACCAAAAACCCAACTTAAAACAAGTATTATACAATGAATTACAAACTACAAGCCTTATCCGATTATCTTACTACCCTGGAGTTTCCTAAGGAAATCTCTAAGGATCTTTCTCAATTCATCAAAACTCAAAGTAAAAATTATTTAATCATCGACAAGAAGTTACACCGATATGGCTCTAATTCAAATTCAAATCAACCACGTTTGGTCCTACTTACTAAAGAACAACAAGATGGTGCTCTCTGGGCAAATCATTCTCATCCTTTAGGAGGACATTTCGCTTTCAAGACCACTTTAAACAAAATCTCATTAAAGTATTACTGGCCCACCATGGCAAAAGAAGTTCAAGAATACGTCAATAAATGTCCCCGGTGCCAAAAAGAAGGAAAACCTACCTTACAAGAAAGATTAAACCCAATTCCGGTCTCCGCTGAACCCTTTAGTAAAATTGGCATTGACGTTAAACAGGTATCTACTTCTAGAGGTGGCCATAGATATATAGTCGCAGCTATCTGTTATCTCACTAAATGGGTCGAAGCTGAACCATTACGGGTACAAAATTCCAGCGAAATAGCCTTATTCATTTACAACCGTATTATTACCACTCATGGGTGTCCTCACACTATCATTTCAGACAACGGTAAACCCTTTGTCAGCGCTTTAATCAATACGGTGGGCGAAAGGTTCGGTATTACTCACAAGACTTCAAGTCCGTATCATCCGGAGGGTAATGGATTAATCGAAAGATTTAATCGTACTCTAGGACAGGTGTTACGAAAGCGACTCGATGTAGAAAAAAGGATTGGCACATTTATTTACCCGCCACCTTATATGCTTACCGAATTATGAAACAGACCACTACTAAACAAACTCCCTTCAAGCTTACCTATGGTCGTGAAGCTTATTCTCCCTTTGATCGGTACCTTCAAAAATCAATGCAAAAGTTGAGTAATCAAGATGGTGACCAGATGAGTCTCCTTGACATTCCTCTTAGCCAAGATATTGAAGATGAAAAATTAAAATTTTTAATCAACCATCAAATCACCCAGTTACAAGCAATCCGATTAGAAGCCACTGAGTCAATTCGACTCTCCTAAGAAATTCAAAAAAAGGCGATTGATAAGAAGATCCTAGCAAAAGGAAAACTTTTGAAACCGCAGTTCGAAATTGGTGATTTGGTAGAAGTCTATAGATCCTTTCTACAAAATTCTTGGTCAGGTAAACTTCAAGATCAATACGAAGGCCCATTTATAATATCCGAGGAGTCACACAAGGGCACTTACAAGATCAAAGACCCGATCACTGCCAAAGAACGACTGGTCCATGGCAACAAACTACGCATATATAAACGGCCTGATGTAAAATGCCCCAATTTGAGTGCTCTTTCCTTTACTCCTATCCCAATTCCCAATATATATAATGGCTCCCACTACTCCTCTCCAGCGGCCAAGAGACGCGCCGAATTGAACCTGCAAGTCATGACTCCAGTCAAAATGAGTTCTTCTCACAAAGTGACTAAGATCTCCCCAAAGGACGTGTTAATTACGAAGACCTTCCTGGAAAAGACCTGCGACAATTTGTATCTGGAGATAATGCAAGAAGCATCCCCTCCCTTATCCCCCATGTCTCCTCCAGAGTGCGAAATACCTGGTCCAAGACTAACGGAAAACGCCTCTTTGAACTCAACGAAAATGGTCAACGACAACCAAGTGCCAATCATGGAGATTCTGGTAATTCTCGAAGACTTACAAAAGCAACACTTTAATGCTGAAGCCAACATAAGGCACAGTCATCGTCAATTGGCTATTCTAATCATAAATCAAGCTCACGAAAAATTTCTTCTCAAAAATAACAAACTCAATTATTCTCGCTTCCGGTCCATTCTGGTCAAATCTCAAGTACCCTTATCCATATCCAGGTCCAGACCGTTTATGAAAACTCTACAAGCTCTAGATCCATGGTCTCGTTAATATCAATACTTCTCCGTAAAGAGTATAAACTATCATTTCTCCGTAAAGAGTATAAACTATCATTTCTCCGTAACAAGTATAAACTATCCTCTTTCCGTAACGAGTATAAACTACTCATGCTCCGTAACGAGTCTAAACCTACTGGTTCTCTCTACTTTGGTTCCTTCTCTTGTTTTTTTCCACGTTTTCTTGTGGTTTTTTCTCTTTCTTTTCCTTTTCCTTGGGTCCTATTCTGGTACACTGGTCATATTATCCAAAACTGCATTCATATTTCTTTTGACGGTAAGGTTTACCTTACTCTAATCGGGGGGATATGTTGCAGCCAATAATAGTGTGGCTTGTTGTTACACAGGATAGGATCTTTCCTATAAATACGCTTGTTTTTTTTTCATTTGTTAATAAATATTCTTTAGTTTTGTCTTCACGTAAGTTTGGAATTTATCTTGTAATTGATACTAGTAGTATGTCCTCCGCTTTTTGTTGCTGTTTGTTGTCTATTGTAAATTATACAATCACATCATCTTCTTACATAAACCCGTCGTAAACTCTTTTCTCTTTGACATCTAAGAACTATATTCTCTTCTCATCTCTCACTGTATTATTATCGATTTGCATATTATTGTCTTATCCATATATTTTATCGTCTAAGATCACTACAGAAATACTCTTAATAAATAATAAAACTAAGTTGACAACTAAAAGTCTGGTGCTCACTATCACAATTGTTATATAATAATAATTGTCCCTTTTTAAATCTAAATCCGTACTAGCGCTATATCAGTATTTATAATTATGTTGTGTAGTTTTATAATGTCGCATTTTTCCCTTTTTATACCCATCAGCTTCGCTTGGAGAAAAGGAATTTCAATGGACAAATAAGAATTCTTCCACGTGGTTATCACGTTATACTTTAAGTTTTAATTGTTTGGTTTCCATCTGTTTTGCATTCTTTCGAAATATTGTCAACACACATTCAACATTAGAAGTAAGTCCGGTAGAAGAGTCCGGTAGTTACGACTATCACGAAATGATGGAATTGCCCAAGCCCAAAAGAAGGTTCAAACCTAAACAACCGAAGACCAGACCATTTAAGAAATCAAGAATCAATATCGTAATGGTCACACGAGCAAAAACAACATAAATATAAATATAAACTTTTTAGACTGAAACAATTACTTAGCCATGATATAATCCTATAAACTAAACAATATAAATATCTCCCAATATTCTATGAAATAAATGTTATCTTTTATCTTATACTCTAAATTCCTGTGCTTCAAAGTACTCTTAAGGCTCTTGTTAAAAAGGCTATCTTACCAATAAGAACAGGTTCACGTGACTATCACGTGCAGGAACTATTAGGTAAGGCTAAGGGATACATCTGAGGATTACAATTGGTAGCACCAGGCGTTTAAAAGAAACAAGAAAACAATATGGCTGAAAATCAAGGAAATACGGCGTCATATAATGACATGGCGGAATTAGTAAATAACTTAGCAAGACTGATGCGTGAAGTGAACAAGAATAAAAATGTCAAGGCAAAAGAACCCGATGAATACTTTGGTGATCGTGATGCGGTTAAAATTGATGGATGGGTATCTGCGGTTGAGAACTATGCTCGTGTCCAAGGAATGGACGATGAAGAACTTGGAATTTATGCTATTGGACTGCTTAAGGATAAAGCTGACACTTGGTATAGAACCATCGAAAAACCAAGAGAAGGTGAAGCATCTCTGGGCTGGCTAGAACTGAAACTGCGCATTGATCGAATTTTTCTGTCCTGAAAACTCGGATTTGATAGCAAGGGATAAAATTGCAAAACTGAAACAAACAGGTGATCTAAATTCGTATATCAATACATTTATGGACTATAAGCTCGCAATCAAGAACATGACGGATGAGGAAGCATGTGACTAAATTCATGCGTGGACTAACTAATGTAAATACGGCTGCTTATGTCCGACAATATTACGATGGTACTTTAAGAACTGCAACAAAATCAGCACTGACTTTCGATAGTGCCCATCACTAAGAAATGTTGTATAGGCCCTTGGTCCGCAATCCTGTTGTCAAACCTTATATTAATGATCCCATAGAACTACATTGGATTGACAGTCGCCAACAAAACAATCGGTTTTGGTGGAAACAACAATAATGGTTCCCGATATGGAAATAGCCGCGGCGGCTATAAGAATAATAGGTCTCGTGCTGGAGGAAACCCTAATTCTGGTGGTGTTTTTTTTTTCTGTAACAAAAGGGGTCATATCAAGCGTTTTTGTAAAGAAAGATAGAACGAAATTAAAAGGTCGGATGATGTAAACAGTCGTCAAAATGGCCACTCTATAGATCTGATTGATATGGAACATGATGTCAGTAATAATGAAAAACAAAAAAAATAAACGTATTGATTTGGACCCTTATGTTTCTGAACCTAGTGACATTGTAGACTATCCTACTTTGGAACCTCAAACAGACAATGACAAAATTGCATATGTTCAGGACCCACATCGAACTATAACAGAATTAATCCCCATCGTCTACCCCAGTAATGATTTAAAGGAAGTACTTGAACATTTGACGGAACTAAACACTCTCGGTACGACGTTACCCTAATATGATGGTAGCTGCTATGTCAATCATTACAAGTGTTAATCGACTTCAGGCGGAAGTGAAAACTATGTATCACCACACATAATTCACGATGACCAAGAACTCATCCCGGTTATGAATCGAAAGGTGGAAACTGCTGGTGGCGAAGTATCCGAAATTAAGTACAAAATAAACTTAAAGGTAAACTTAAACGGTTATGCTACTTCTATTCTGGCGTATGTGTTCCCTACCAAGTTTAATCTCATTTTAGGGCGATCAAGGATAAAACAAGAAAAACCTATTCCTGATTAGGATACCGATACCTGGCTCATCAATAAGGGAAGTATACAATTAAAACCTAAAACACATACAAATCATTCGTCACTCACTTCTATATCCGACCTTAGTTACTTAATATTACATAAGCAAGCTGACAGATATATGAAGAAAGGGGCGGATAGTTTTTACTCTGCATTCGAGACATTGAAAAACCTGATGTAACATACTCAAACAAAGCTGAAGGCAACTACTAGAAATAACTGGTTGAAGAATTTGATGACATTTTCAAGACCAACTTGCCTTGTTCACCTCCGGATCGTGGAATCCAACATATCATCAACACTGGCGACGCGCGATCTATTTCAAGACCAACTTTCAAAATGTCCCCGTTAGAATTAGATGAGTTGAAAGCGCAAATTCAAGAATTACTTAAATTAGGACTAATCCAGCTACGTTGCTCCACTTGGGAAGCACCTGCTCTATTTGATCGGAAAAAAACCAGATCCAGGATCGAAAAAACCGTCTAAACTAAGAATGTGTATCGATTACAGAGCTTTGAACAAACTCACTGTTAGGGATTTGTCGAGTATACCACTACCTGATGAATGTTTAGAAAGACTAGTTCGTGCCAAATACTTTACAAGCATTGATCTCAAGTCAGGATACCATCAACTTCAAATTGCAGAAGATGTTGACAAAACTGCTTTTGACACCCGTTATGGTAAATTCGCTTTTCTCGTACTCCCTTTTGGGTTATCAAATGCTCCGCCCACGTTTCAAAGGTTAATGAACAATGTCCTTGCTGATTGTCTCGATAAATTTGCCTTGGTTTACTTGGATGATATTCTCATTTGGAGTGACAGCCTAGAACAACACAAACAACATGTACGACATGTGTTAGAACTACTACGAAAAGAAAAGCTTATTGTGAATCTGAAAAAATGCAATTTTGGAAAAAAGGAGTTGACTTTTGTGGGTTTTCACATATCAAGTAATGGTGTAAAACCAAGCCCCGAAAAAGTGACAGTTTTAGAACACTGGCCAAGATTAACCAACGTTCAGGAAGTTCGACAATTTATAGGGTTTGCTCAATTTTACAAAAGATTTATTAAAGATTTTGCTTCTATTGCAGCACCTCTTACGGATCTCACTCGTGGCACTGGTCATAAGAAACGCCCTATCACTTGGACTCCGGAGTGCCAACAAAGTTTTGATACATTAAAAAAGGTGCTTACTTCTAATCCAGTACTAAAACTAGTTGACATGAACAAACCGTTTAAAATCGAGGTCGATGCTTCTGATCGTGGATGTGGTGCGGTGCTTTATCAACCTGATGACAATGCTGAATTACAATGGCATCCTATCTGCTTTGAATCTAAAAAGTTTACATTAGGTGAATCACGTATGCCTGCACAAGAAAAAGAATTGCTTGGTATTATTCATGCCTTACGAAAATGGCGTTGTTACGTTGATGGTTGCCCTGCCGGCTATACGGTGTACTCGAATCATATGCCTCTGCAATATTTTCGATCAAAAGAAAATCCTGCTAGTCGACTCGTACGGTGGATCAATGAAATCGAGGCTATGGGTCCCACTATTGTATATAAAGCAGGAAAAAACAATCAGATTGCTGATGTTTTGTCACGTATGAATTATGCATCCGAAGAAAGGCTCCTGAAAACGAATCTTTAGAACCTGATATGTTATATGCTGCTTGGGATAAATTACCTCCGTTAGTTCGTGCAGACTGGCCTTTACTATATTTGTTACGGGATAAGGTAAAATCAGATGAGATTAATAACGTGTTAAACAAAGAACAAGATAACTTCAGCATTCTCTCCAATCGTATCTCTAGACATGTGAGACTCCCTAATGATGATCAAGTTCATAATGTACCGTATCTACCCTTCGAAGATCGTGCGGATACACTTGCAAAATATCATGAATCGTTAGGCCATGCGGGAATCAAAACCACGCTGTACTATATGCTGGCTCGCTTTTGGTGGCCTGGAATCAAGCAAGACATCGTTGACTAGTTGAAACTCTGTCCCGCGTGCCAATTAAATAGTCGAAAAGGATTAGCTCACAAAGATGTCACGCACCCATTGAAAGTCCCAACTGCATTCGACCGCTGGCATTTAGTTTTTTTGGACCTGCCCACATCTACAAAAGGTAATCGTTGGTTGCTGATCGGTGTTGATTATGCCACAAATTGGTGCGTTGCTCGTGCTATGCCAGTTGCATCAGCGGAAAAGGTTGCCGTTTTTTGTATGAAGAAATTGTCCTGAACTTTGGAAATTTTTCTGAACTGGAAACAGATCGCGGAGCTAACTTTTGTTGTCTATTAATTAAGGAGTATGGCAAACATGTTGGTGTTAATCACAAATCGACATGTGCATACTATCCCCGAACGAACTCCAAGGTTGAACGTTTTAACGATGTCATCAAACAGACGCTTAGAAAATATACCAATGGTGCCATTCATCGTTCGGATGATTTCGTTCACGCTGCTCTCTGGGCCTGTCGTATTTGCGTCCACACTACAACTGGGTTTAGTCCTTATTATTTAACATACCGTAGACAACTGCGCTTACCTGGTGATATCATGCGGCCTTATATTGATTCATCGGTATATAATGACCCTCGCACTGTAGCTGATTTTACTTCACGTGAGTTAGCTTCCCTAGGCCAAGACCGTGCTGCTGCAGAGTTCAGAATAAAAGCTATGGCGGCGAAAGACAAAATTCGGTGGGATGCTGCAATTAAGCGTGTCTCTTTTGAAATTGGTGACATGGTAATGTTAACAAACGAAGGTAAATACGGGTTGGAGCCAACTTTTAAAGGTCCTTATATGGTGGTGAAAATTTTTCCCGAGTTTGGCACTTACAAATTGGAAACCATTGCTGGAGAACCACTGAAATCACTCGTACATGTCGACCGCTTGAAGGCTGTTAATGGCCCGAAGCCTGACAAACCTTGGTTTAATCCAACTGAGACAAAAAAAGTTTGGCGAAATTTTGAAAAAGAAAGTGGCACCCAAGTCTTACAACCAAACATTATACTACCGCCTATTATTGAAAATGACGTCATTGATCATGACGATCCTGTCAATCATACGCCTCAAATGCCTGCCTTTAAACAGTCCTCAAGTCCCATATTAAATGCTGTGCCTGAATTACCTACGGATAATATCACACCTCCGAATACGGATATGCCTCTGATTGATGATATACTCCTGGATACAAATTTTGCAAAAGCTGATTCTATGGTTGACGGTGATATCTCTATGGATGACTCTACTTTTGGTGGCCCCAACTTGATTGGCTCTCCATTATTAGGTGCTCAGAAACTCGCACAGAGCCTAGGGGGGGCTAATGTCAACGCACATCCAACTATAGAAGTAAGTCCGGTAAAAGAGTCAGGTAGTTACGACTAACACGAGATGATGGAATTACTGAAGCCCAAAAGAAGGTTCAAACCTAAACAACCGAAGATCAGACTACTTAAGAAATCAAGAATCAATATCGTAATAGTCAGGCGAACAACAACAACATAAATATAAATATAACTATTTTAGACTGAAACAATTACTTAGCCATGATATAATCCTATAAACTAAACAATATAAATATCTCCCAATATTCTATGAAATAAATGTTATCTTTTATCTTATACTCTAAATTCCTGTGCTTCAAAGTACTCTTAAGGCTCTTGTTAAAAAGGCTGTCTGACCAATTCGAACAGGTTCACGTAACTATCACGTGCGGGAACTATTACGTAAGGCTAAGGGATACATTTAAAGATTACAACATATCAGTCTTGTAATGGGTTATAGTCAGGTTAAGATTCAACTCTCAGTGGTTAATCAGTTAGTAAGTTGATAAGTACTTAAATATATAAAATAGAAGATAATGTTTATTTGATATAAAGCTAGGAGCGGTTTATACTAGTTTGGGGAATATATAGAATGTGATAATAATGGGATAATAATGAATATGTTGATAATGTAATGTTGATATGTATGGTGATAAAATAATAAAAGTATGGTGATAGATATAAAGATTGATTGTGATAAATATAAGTAATCAGGTTGTTGAATGTAGAAGTACTGTTGTGATATTTATAATAAAGTGGTGTTACTTCTTTGGCTTGGTTATCTTGGGTACAAACTTCCTTTTTAAAAGTTTCGCTTTCTTTAAGCGTAATTCGATCTCCAGAGGCATTTCAACATCCGTAATTAAGTCCGGGTCGGGTACAAGAGTCCGGGTCGGAATTTGGTTTAGAGAAGCATCAGACCATCGACAATTGTGGGCTTGACAAGTATGGCAGCGTTCGTCCAGCCAATGAAATAGTTCGGGTCCAAGAATCCGGTACCGAGAATTACTTTGACGTAATGGAGCTCACACGACCCAAAAGAAGATTCAAACCAAAATTAAATAAGACAAGACCAACTAAGAAAACAAAGCTGTATGTCATAAGACCAACAAGACAAAGTTATAAACTACTTTAGTTTATAAAACAATTACGTATATACACACCCAGAGCAGCCATTGCCTTTCTAGGTTTAGTTACACGCGGAATAATGATAATCCTTAAAATAAATGAAAACCATTGGAGGTTTTTTTTTTCGAAAAAAAAAAGGTGCATGGCGTCCCCCCAAGGTTCCTCATTAAGGCATATTTGTGCATCATTGTGATTGTGTTCACTCCCCCAAGCATCCCCACCACCCCCAAATTATTTTTGTCTGACGTGAACGGCTTTTCAAATGGACTTGGCAAAAAAAAACACTGTTTTATTTCGTTTGATGTGTAAAAAAAATATATTAAATGTATGGCAATCTTACGATTTTTTCCAAACTACAACGTGTGTTGAGGAGCCACCAAAAACTACCGAATTTTGACTTGTTGATACTCAAAAGTTAAGAATTATTATTATGCCGCGAGTCAAGCAAAGGAGGTTGCGACATGTCCAGCACGAAAACGACACGATTTTGTTCATGACCAGCAATAGTAAAATCATCGTTAGGGAATCTACGAGTTACAACATTGCCAGCAAGATCTAAAAGGCAACTTTCGTAAATACACATGTCTTGATCATGTGGAATGGCGTTTCGAAGAACAAAATCGTACGCCTCGATTATGAAGTTTTGACCTTCTTTGAAAGCTACCCTACCAAGAGTTAAACCGCTTGACTTGGAGCTTCTAACGTTATAGAACAAGCCGGTGAGCCCTAAGACCAGTTTTATTTTGCTATTATTGTTGTCCAGCAACTCAAGATCGTTTTCTTATAATGTCGAATCATAAGATTGGATTACACTACTGCCGCATGTCTCATAAACAGAAGAAGAAGGGTCTTTCTTGAACAAACCACCTTGACTAATATGACGAAGCATACACTCCTCTGCAAATCAGATAGCAACATCTCTGCCACCATTTTGACGGTTGGTATGGCATAATAGTTCTCGCATGAATTTATGCTGCTGTTCGCCCCTTACAGTTTTAGTGTGTGGACCACCAGCGAAACGTTCAGTATCTTGGGAGATATGAACCAGCAGATGAGACTTCAACCTATTACAGAGAGACGAGAACTTCATCATTGAGATAGCCGCGGTTCCTCCATTTGCTGACCTTCTTCTCGTTATTGTGGTATGGTGGAGAGTGTTGATTGAAGCGATAGTTTCTGACACAGTATGATTTAGCATTTCTTGATAAAAATGAAAATTGTCGATCTTTTCGATATAAACCAAGGAAGCGAGTAGCGACAGATGATCGAAGCAATGGTAGACTGATGAAAAGGAACCTTGATTGTCAGCAAAAATTGTTGGATCTTGAAGCTTTGCCTTTTGGAGAATCGATGGAAAAAGCTGTACGAGAATTTTAAAATCTCTGCCAAGGTAAAAACGATAAGCTGTTAAAGAAGAAGTCAGATTACGATGTAACGCCTTTGAATTATAGTTTCTAAACAACTCTGTAAGCTCTTTCAGCTGGTGATCGTTTAAAAAATAGTCATGCGCAATCTTGAAGCAATACTTCGTCATTCCTAGCAGTAAAGTGTGCAAAATTTCAACAGGCAGATCCTGGGACAAGTCCACAGCCTTCAATTTCAACAACTCCTCGGCACCTGTTATTTTGAATCCAAGATCACTCCAGTTGGTGGATTGCGCGGGATCTTTTATAACCCCTTGATTTGTTACACGTCCTCTGTTCGGAAGAAAGACTGGAGTATCACGGTCTGTTTTTTCAGGATTTATAAAATCGTTGAAATCTTTTGACGTTCTTGGTGCAGCGGCGTATGTTTTGGCAGTATAATCTAATGCGATGGGTTGCTTCCCGGTTGTCAATGGCTTAGCTGGATCAGATTGCCAGTAGCAAAATTGGCAAGGGTGGTTGGCTCTTGAGCCCTTATTGATTGCAAGTTGAGCTTGACGAACATTGTCTCCTCGAAAGAAAAGGACAGGTGCAATCACAAACACATTTTCTTGACGTTTGGAGTCATACATTACCACGCCTTTTTCTAATTCCAGCAAATCTTCAGTTAATGGTTTTATCATTTCCATTGCAGTTACTTTATGGTTGTTAGTGCACAAAAAGAAGTGGTTCTCGTATATGTTGCTTTCGAACAAAGGAAAAGCAGCAACGCTCATGATCCAGCTGTCAAAACAATTCCACTTTTTTGATCTATTTCCACTGCTATCGTCTGAAAACAAAGAAATAGGTACTATGAGAACTGACATCTGTTGATTTGCGGTGATGTATGGTACTCGTTTACGGATCGCAAGACTTTCAACAATCATGGTATGGTGTGGATGTAACAATTGGTTGAAGGGCGTGAATGCAATCTCACCATCGTTACGAATAAACTTGGACAGTAATTTTTGATAACATTGCTCTAGGAGCTCTGTTATGGACATGACCAAAAGAATGCTAGACACTGGAACGTTCACCCTTTTGGAATTAAAAGCCGCGATTTGAAAGTTTTCGAGAAACTCCATGGGGAAAGCATTGACAAAGAGTTGGCCATTTGCAATGAAGAATTTGGCAATGATGTACATTTGTTGCTGACCACCAGAGGTTCGAACAACGTCGCCAATCCATAGATCATCACGATTGTTTGACATCTCTTTGGTTATCATGGGTGATTGAAAGTGAAAATTATCTTTCCATTTACGTCCTTGATTTGGATGGTACCGCTGGTTTGGAGTGAAGTCGGGCAAAGATTGGAGAAGATTGACCTTTTGGGTATTAGCCATGATCAATCGTAAATGACTTGATGGTTTGATATAGAACAATTGGACTGACCGATTGTCTCCTTTTGGAATGATGGCTTTGTCAACCTCAAGGCGAGGGAATTTTATTTTAAGATCATGGCTTTTGCAAATCCGGTCATCCTTAGGTACGCTACTAAGAGGATCGAAACCATCTGATCTTCTTTGAATCAAACCCCTTCCTTGGTGTGATATAACAATTAATTGACGCACCAAATGCATACTTTTTTTTACTATTCTGTTTGAAAATCTATCTTGCGACCCCTTGAAGAACTCAGGACTTTCATTTCCATTTCATTTTTAAAAGGATAAAAAGAATTAGAGCTAAAAATGGATGTACTTTGATAGGTATTAGATCTCTCGATTTCATCATCGCCGGACTCGGAAAGAGATTCATCATCAGATTCAAACGGGTAGGCAAGGTTATCATTGTCATCTTCATCCAAGCTGTCAAACAAATCATTGTCATCAGCGATTTCATCTACTGGATGACGGTTATCGTTTGTAGGAGTACTATCAATGATATTTTAATAAGTATATGTATTTGTGATTTCATATTCATTCTTACTCAACATGTGGATTACTTGCACGCTCATGGACGATTTTTTGATGGCGGTTAAGGTTACTATTGGTCGTGAAATCTTTTTTACAAATAGTGCAAAAAGTATCATTATTGTGAATAGAGAATATGTTAACAGACATTCCTTCGCGTTGTGAGTATAATAAAAATTATGAAGTTTGGCAAAAAACTTTCACTGCCTTCATTTATAGATTTGGTCTCATGCAGTGTAACAAAATTCTAATGCTTTTAAATCACTTTTTTTCTCCTTTCTCTCTTCTTTCTCCCTTTTTTAATTAAAAATACAATTAACTTGTATTTTGTTTTTAAGAAGCCATCGTCTTAAGGTAATTAATACACATATAATAAGAACCTCATTAACAGTTCATTAATCAACAGGAAATGGAATACAAGTACTACCTTGTGTACGATGGGTAACAGCTAGGTAATATACACGCGTTTTTTGTTAATTTTTATTTTCTGTGCATTTATTAACATATCATATCTTGCTTAAAGCTGCTTTTCACTCTTGGCGTTCTGAATTCTAGTAAGGTATGATATTTCCATCTTATTCATAACGTTTTTCTTTCTAAAATAATTTTTTCAGTGTATTTTTCTCTCTGTTTCTCCCTCTCTTGAAATTACAAGGTACGCGTGTTTAGGATAATAACAATACTACCTTTAGGTTCTCTAACATGCTTTTTTACAATAGTATCTTCCTCTTTTTTTTGGTATTTGCTTTTATCGCGTTACGACTGGACATCCCCATCCAAAGCAACCGTTTTTTTATGATTATTTATATACATTTTTATCCAACAAAATTTTATTATTTTGATGCTACGTAATCGCTTTTATAACGTTTTTTGACCCCCAATGGACCCCCATAGACCCCCCAGCTCAATTCCCCCCATTCCCAAAATGGTTCGAAATTAATCACCGATGTTTACAAATAAACCTGCAAAAAATCCTCTGGGTGCGTATGAAATAACAACCTAACTAGATTGTATAAATATCCCCATCATATTTTAAATAAAACAGTATCTTTTATCTCATACTTTATTTTGTACTTGTACTTTAAGAGTACTACTTCTGGCCAATAAGAATAGGTTCACGTGATTATCACGTGTTGTATTATTACGTAAGGATTAACTGGACATCTGAGGTTTAAAATCTTGTCAGTCTTTTTTTCGTAGGTATAGAGCTACTATTTAAAACACGTACTACATATAGCAGGAAGATACTACTATGAGTACAGTCGTATTTTAAGTAAGACGAAAGATGATTTTATTTATTTATGCGCTTTTGGTATTTATACTGTACTATTTAATAGGGCCGAGCCGGACCAAGGACGAGATTCAATAGCCGCTGTCTTTTATAATGCGCTGGCGTTACTGGCTTGAAACTAGGACGCGTCTGTAGCTTACGCGGTATATTTGCTATGACCTCTGGATCTTCAGGACCGACAATCTTATCTTCTTCTTCGATAGTATAACTTAAGTGTTTATTGTTTGAGGATTTATGAGTGCTAATTACTCCCTCGAAATGTTTCATTAATAAATCGTACTAATGTAAATTGTTTCGGGTGGGGGGAAAAGCTTCTGTGGTGTAAATTATTCTATATTATATTTCTAGCCTAGATTGTTAATTTGTTTCGGGCGGCACGTAGATAGGGATACTTAGAAATGGTCATATGTTATAATTTTATACCAACTGGCGTTAAAAACCTAGAACCCATTGTTACTTGTATGAAATGAATGTGTTCCTGTCGACAATTGAACTCGCGCTGTGCTTAGGGGTTTATATTTTGGGCATATGTGTTAACTGTGGAGGTATGAAGCTGTCAAGCCTGTAAATGTCGATGGATCTGATGCCTCCAAGAATTACGTGACTAGCCGGGTTAGTCCGACCCGAAGTCCGGACCTTGACGTAGACATGCCTCTAGAAATCGAGCTTAGGCTCAAGAAGACCAAGAACCAGAAAAGACGATTTGTACCACTCAAGAATAATCATATGAATCGGAAAAGGTCAAAGCTGAATAACACCACTTTATTATATACAACATAACACCACTTCGGGTTCACCTGTTTCATATCGATAACCTGTTTATATTATTCATCATCATTATCATTATCATCATCATCATATTTATTATATTTATCACATCACCTATATCTTTACATTTAGTATATATATCCCTTAACATTAGAACAATAAACCATTATCTTCTATTTGAATATTAAATACTTCTTTACTACTTTCCCATTCTAATTAACTACTAAGAGTTGAATTAAAATAACATTGAACTTACAAAGCATTATCAGTCTTGTAATAGGTTTAATAGGGTTAAGATTCAACTCTCAGTGGTTAATCAGTTAATAAGTAGATATATACTTAAGATATATAAAATAGAAGATAATGTTTATTTGATACAAAGCTAGGAGCTATTTATACTAGTTTGGGGAATATATAGAATGTGATAATAATGTGATAATATGATGTTGATATGTATGGTGATAATATAATAAAAGTATGGTGATAGATATAAAGATTGATTGTGATAAATATAAGTAATCAGGTTATTGAATGTAGAAGTAGTGTTGTGATATTTATAATAAAGTGGTGTTACTTCTTTGGCCGTTTTCTATCGGCATTGGTTATCTTGGGTACAAACTTCCTTTTTAGAAGTTTGGCTTTCTTTAATCGTAATTCGATCTCCAGAGGCATTTCAACGTCCATGGTAGAGTCCGGGTCGGAATGTGGCTTAGAGTAGCATTAGAACCATAAACAATTATGGGCTTGACAAAAACTATCTTTCTTCGATAGTATAACTTAAGTGTTTATTGGTGAGGATGATGAGTACTAGTTACTCCCTCTTATGTTTCGTTTTAAATAATGAAAATATAGTAAAAAATAAAATAAAGTAAAGGTGTGTCTAAAAAACTTCATATGTGATGAAGGAAAAAAGTAAATTATGGGAAAGGGAAAATGTTGCATGAATTTGTTGTTATTTTGACAGGTGATCTTCAGGGTTTAATTTCGCTGATTATATAATCACTTTAATTTGCGGTTGGTGGTTTTAGCCAATGAATAAGCGGGGAGATATCCTCAGGGTCTGGATTCATTTCGTCTTCTGTTGTGTGGCAAAGTGTTTCTATTTTGTTAAATATTTTTGTGATTTGTATCCATTTTTGAATAAAGTAATTTTGCTTTATTCTGTTGCTGGTTTGTTTTGTTGGTAGTTGGTTCAAGATGTAGTCGATAGGTGATGTGACGATTATCGGTACTTGTAATATTTGATGTAACTTTAGACATTGAGTTAAATGATTTCTAGTGGTGTTATTGTTTAATGTTGTGTCGCAGTTTTTACATGTTGTTGGTCGTCCGGGTAGCCATCCCATTCTCCATCTGATTATTCTGCTTCTTTCGAAATTATGCATAGGTAGATACATAATGGGATCATTTGCTATATTTGATCTGCACATGCCTACATAAAATTGTTCACATTGTTTTTGTATCATGTTTTTTTTTAAATACTTATTTATTGCTTCTCGCAGCAATTTTTCGGTAATGAATATGGGAAGGGTTCTTGAGTTTGCTGGCGGGAGTGGTAGAGATTGCCAGATCTCGTTTCTTTTTTGTAATTTTTTGAAATGAGTGTCGCGGGTTGTAATGACTTGTCTCAGCATTGTGTAAATGAGTGTGGTGTTAGGTAGCTGGAATGTGCGGTATATGTTTTTGGCTTGTAACACCATTTTTCGCTCTTCCATTGTTGCTATTTTGTTCATATGTTTTATTGCCTGTGTTGATGACGTTGCATGTCCATGGAATATTTTCCTTATTGCGTTGTCCTGGGCTTTTTCTAGTAGCTTAAATGTTTTTTTGGTTGTATTGATAATAGATAATCCATATTCAAATACTGGTCGAACGAATGTTTTATAAAACCTGAGCGTGAGAAATTTGTCAAACCCGGAGTTATTTGCTCCTATTTGGTGTATCGCTTGCATTGCCCTTGTTCCTTTTGCTGCATTATTTAAAATCATATTTTTATCATCTATACCTGCACTGTTAAAATAAATTCCCAAGTACTTGCAAGATGTTTGGATTTCAATTTGTTGTTCATAGATTGAGTATTGTTGTTCATAGTAATTAATATCTTCGATGTTGCGTATGCTGTTTGTATCTGGTGATAAAATTAAGCTTTTGGCTGGGTTCCATTTATATCCTTTTTCATATGAGTGTTCCTCTGCTAGCTTCAACATTTGTTTTATTTCTTCTGGTGTTCCTATACAAGCTACATCATCTGCAAATAATAATGAATTAAGTGAGTAGGATATATTTTGTATTTCTATTTTTGTTGTATCGGCACCAGTTGCAGCTCTTAATTTTTCGGGTAAAGAATTGATGAAAATAGAGTATAGATGTGGCGATAAGGTTGATCCCTGTAATACACCCGTTTCTGTAGTAAATGGTGTGGTTGATTTTAATCCATTTTGAATAACTTCAATTTGTACTTCATTAAACATTTTTTTCAGTAGTTCTATGAATGGTATGGACATGTTGCTTTTTGTTTTAAGTGTGTTCCAAATGATATTTCTATCTGTTACGTCATAGGCGGATTGTATGTCTAATAGTGCTACAACTGGTGCTTTACCTGTTTTTTGTTTGTGTTTAATAATTAGTTCCTGTAATATTAGCGCTTGGTCTATTGTGGATCTTTTTTCTCTGAATCCCCCCCTGTACTGGATCCAATTTGATGCTTTGATTCAGTAGTGATGCATATATTGAGAATTCAAATATTTTTCTTGTAACACATATGAGACTAATTGGTCTATAGTTTTTTGGATGTTGGGGGTCACCCTTTTTGTATATGGGTATGACTTGGGCTATATTCCATTTTTCTGGGAGGACTGTGTATTTCCAGCATATTTTGAAGATGGCGTAGAGTATTGGTGCTATTGTTTCGGCTATGGGCTGGAACATTTCTGCTTTGAGATGGTCCACTCCTGGTGCTTTATTTTTGGGTAATCTATTAATGGCATCTATAATTGTTTCCACTGTAAAAGGGGGTACTTGTGTATAACCTCCTGGGGGTGGTGCATGATCTAAAGTTAAGTTTTCTATTTGTGTATTTCTGATGTTACCATTAAACGTGTTTTTCCAATTGAGTGTTAGTTTATCGACTGCGTCTTGTGGTCCATCTATGCTTTCAAATGCCACGCGAATTCCTTTATTGGATTTGATGTTTTTAATTTTATTTGTTGCTTTGCTGAATTCCGTTGAGTTTAGTGTGTTGCAGAAGTTTCTAAAGTGTTTATTTTTTTCTGATCTTATTTTTTTTCGTACTTCGTCTGCTAAATCTAGGTGTTCTTTCCAGTATTTTGCTTTATTGATTCCTGTGGCTCTTTTCCACTTTCTATATATTTTTTCTCTTTTTTCTGAAATATTTTGTAATTCTGCCGTCCAAAACCATTTCCATTGTTTTTGTCGTGGTGTTTGTTTATTGATAGTGGCGTCTAGCGATTCATATATTGACGTGCATAAGTTGTTTTCGATGTCATCAATTTTTTCCTGTATTTCATATGTTGGCATAGTGTTGTTGTTATTTATTGTGTCTATTAATGATTGTATGTGGGGTATTTTCTGACGCATGATTGTCCTGTAGTCTAAAATATATTTGTTTTCATTTGTATTTGTTTCTGTATTACCTTGGGTCGTCCCCTGTGTTGGGATTTCCCCTTTTTTCATAAATTTATTTAGTTGCCATAGTTTTCTTGGATGTTCTATTTTTTCTGGTGGGGCTGGTAGTGAGTGTATAAAAGAAAAAAATACTAGTTTGTGGTTGGATCCAAGGGATGCATCATCGTGTATTTCCATATATGGGTCGATTATGTCCTCTTATTTGTTGCTTAAAAATAGATCGATGATGCTTTTTTGATCTTCTGTATTCATGTGTGTTGATCCTTTTATATAGGTTGGTTGTCCATAAGTTAGTTGTTTGTTCCATAAATGTAATCCATTTTCTGCTATAATATTAAGGAGAGATGTACATCGTACATTGGTGATGGGCATATAAGTGTTATTGACTATTCTTCTGTCGCCTAGGTAATTTCCCATTCTGCAATTAAAATCGCCGCATAGGATTATTTTGTCATTGTTCATATTGTGTTTTCTTATTTCTGTGTTGATTATATTTTCGAACTCTTGTGTTGTTACTGTGGGGTTAGGTGGTATGTAAAAGCATATAATGATATAGTTTTTAATTCTGCATGTTAGTACGTATTTGTTTGTAATTGGATCTGTAATGACTGTATGGGGAAATTTCGGGTTAATTAATAAAGTTATTCCGTTTATACCCTTATATCCATTTTCGGCTAGCTGTGCATAATTATTTTTTTGTATCCATGATGTTTTAAATGATTGTGATTCTAGGAGCCATGATTCTGTGATGAAAAAGAGTGAAGTTGAAGGATTGATTTGTTGGAGTGTGAAATCTATTGATTCCTTGGTCATTCCTGTTGCGTTCCATAGTGTGATGTTTAGTTTTTCACACATTAAATATTATTTGGTGGTTTGTTTGTGTCTCGTCGTCGCCTTGGCTTTCTCCAACTGGGGCGGTTTGGTTCTCTTCTGATGTTGATTCTTTGAATATATCCATTGCTTCGACTACGTTTCGTCCTGTTAGTATTTGCTTCAATTGGTCATCACTAATTATTTTTTGTCGGTGAAAACATCTCGCAACTGATTTTTTTACTGGCTCTCTTATAAAGTCGAGTGCTCTCATTGAGCAGTTATTTCTAATTTGCTCTAATTTTGTTGTCTTTTCTTCTTTCGATAATCCTGTAAGTCTGCTATCTCTCAAATGTGAAACATGTAAGTAGTTATATTCTTTTGTTTGTATACCAGCCTGGTCTAATTTTTTTTCTGCCGTCTCTTTGTATTTTTCATGTATTAATAAAAGTACTGTATCCCAGTCAGGGCAGTATGTGTCCAGTACTTGTATGTTGTCAATTCCCACAAAAGCCAGTTTTCTTCTTATTTCTGATGGTTTCATTCTTCTTTTGCAAGGTAAATAATGTTGATGAAATTATTCTCTTCTGTTTTTTCTTCAAATGTTCTTGTGGCTAATTCTAATTGTTTTTTTGATGGATTATTTTGTCGGAAAAACTGGTTTTTTCTTCTTTTGGTCCAGTTGTTGTTATTGTTACTGTTGTTGTTTTGTTGTGTGTTATTATTTTTTGTAGCTTTTAGGTAGGGGAACTCTTCTTGTGAGTTCAAATTGGTTTCCTGGTTGTTTTTATCTTCTGTTTGGTTTATATTGTTAGTGGTTGTTTCATTTTGCTCCTCTGTGTAACCGTTATTATTTTCTGCCCTTCCTTTTCCTTTATCTTTTTTGTCTATTTTTTCCTTTTCTGTTATGTTATTTTTTTGTATCTTTTCCATTTCCCCTAGTTTTTTTTTTAATTCGTTGTTTTCCTTTTTTAATTTTATGTTATCCCTTATCAACTCCTGCATTTTTTTTGTTTCTTTTTCCGTTTTTTCTACTCTTTTTTTTAACATCTTCAATTCAGTTAAAATATCAATTTTTTCTTCTATTCCGTTCTCCTCCTCCTCCATTTCAATGTCTGATATATCCGATATTTCATTTTCGTTATCGTCCTCAAAATCATCTTCCTCTCTCATGTCTAGTTCCATTTGTTCTTCACTTGTTGATTGTGTTTCGTATTTTAAAATGGTTTTCATTTCGTCATATGTTGTTCCTTTTTCGCATTTTTTGCACTTGTATTGTGGCTTAGGGGGTTTACTTTGGTTGCTTCCATTTTTTTGTAGGCTTCCAATTGTGTTACATTTCTTGCATGATATTTGTCCTCTGTGCAATTCATACTGTACTACTACGGCTTCTATTTCTTCCGTATATTGTACTCCCTTTTTTTTTCCTGTTATTGTGTTTTTTTCTCCTATTTGTCTTTTTTTTTCCTTTGTGGCTCTCGACATAATTTCTTGTACCTCTTCCATTGCATAGTGTTTTGTGCATTTTTTGCATGTTAGTACAATCTCTGTACTTTCTTCATCTCCTACTTCCATGTGATCTATTCTGTTGATGTTTATCCATGCTCCTTTGCATTCTTGACATTCGATTTTTTTTTGGTGTTTGTTGAATTTATTAATAAATTCAATTTGATGTTCATTCAAATGCTCCTTGTTTGCTAATTGTATTTCATTGAGCATTTCGTCTATTCCTATTCCGGGAGAAGTTGATGCACTCCTTTACTTTCCGGTAGTGTTCTCCTGATCGATGTTCATTATGCCCAATGCAGATGATGTTGCATTTTCTTCTTCTCTTTTTTTTTGTTGTTCATTTTCATTTGTTTTAGTATTTTTTTGTTGATTTTTGTTGATTTTTCTGGTGCTGGTGGTTGTTGTGTTTTTGTTTAAGGTGGGTGATAGATAGGGGATACCTATCTTGACCTCCTGGTCGGTGGGCGTAGGTTCCTGCGACATGCGTTGTTTGTCCAGGTGATATCTACTGCACGAATTTTTTTAATTAGTTCTTTTTCTAGTTTAATTGCTTTGAATACTGCTTTATCGCGGATTTTAAGGGGGTGGCTTAGTCGAAAAAAAGTATATAAGAACGCGGATTTGCAACGCGCGATAAAACTATCTACTCTTCGATAGTATAACTTAAGTGTTTATTGGTGAGGATGATGAGTACTAGTTACTCCCTCTTATGTTTCGTTTTAAATAATGAAAATATAGTAAAAAATAAAATAAAGTAAAGGTGTGTCTAAAAAACTTCATATGTGATGAAGGAAAAAAAGTTAAAAATGGGAAAGGGAAAATGTTGCATGAATTTGTTGTTATTTTGACAGGTGATCTTCAGGGTTTAATTTCGCTGATTGAATAATCAATTTTAATTTGTTGCTGGTGTTTTTTGAGATCCTTCCGGATTACCTCCGATTGGTTGTTCTTCTGTTGCTGGTTCCTGAAAAATGTCCATTGCTTCGTTCATATTTCTTCCTGTCAATATTTGTTTCAGTTGGTCTTCGGTAATAATGTTTTGGCGGTAAAAGCATCTTGCTACTGATTTTTTTACCGGCTCTCTAATAAATTCTAGTGCTCTCATTGAACAGTTGTTCCTAATTTGCTCCAGTTTTGCTGTTTTTTCTTCTGTCGATAATCCTGTTAATTTGCTGTCTCTTAAATGTGAAATATATAGGTAGTTATATTCCTTTGTGAATATACCCGCCTGTTCCAATTTCTTTTCTGCTGTGTCTTTATATTTTTCGTGTATTAATAGTAGTACTGTATCCCAATCTGGACAGTATGTATCAAGTACTTGAATATTGTCGATTCCTACGAAGGCTAATTTTTTTCTAATTTCGGATGGTTTCATTCGTCTTTTGCATGGTATATGTATGTTTATAAAGTTGTTTTCCTCTTTTTTTTCCTCGAATGTTCTTGTTGCTATTTCCAATTGTTTCTTGGTTGGGTTGTTTTGTCGAAAAAATTGATTTTTTCTTCTTTTGGTCCAATTGTTGTTGTTGTTGTTGTTGTTGATTTGTTGTTGTGCTATATTGCTTTTCGTTGCTTTTAAGTATGGGAACTCGTTTTGTGAGTTCATGTTACTGTTCTGGTTGTTACTTTGGTTTATTTCTTCTGCTTGATATTTGATGTTGTTATTATTTGTTTCCTTGTACTCTTCTTCCTCATTTTCTTCTTCCATTTCTCGCAGTTTCTTTTTTAGTTCAATATTTTCTTTTTTCAGGTTGATGTTCTCCCTAATCAGCTCCTGCATTTTTTTTGTTTCTTTTTCTGTTTTTTCTAATCTTTTCTTTAACAGCTTCATTTCGTTCCAGACATTTATTTCTCCTGTTGATTCATCCTCTTCTTCCATCTCTGTGTCTGTGATATCTGAAACATCATTTTCGTTGTCATCTTCAAATTCACTTTTATCTTCTGTATCTATTTCCATCTGTTCCTCGTTTGTTATTCTTGTTTCATATTTTAAAATAGTTTTCATCTCCGCAAACGTTGTTCCTTTTTCGCAGTGTTTGCATTTGTATTGTGGCTTTGGTGGTTCTCCTTGGTTTCTTCCATTTTTTTGTATAGTTCCAATTGTTCCACATTTGTTGCATGCCATTTTTTCTCTAGCTAATTCATACTGTTCCATAATGGCTTCTACATCTGCTGTGAATTTTAGTTCCCCTCCTTTTTTTTTGTCCTTCCCTGTTGTTCTTGTATCATCTATCTGTCTTTTTTTTTCTTTTGTTACTTTTAATGTCAACTCCTGTGCCTCGTCCATTGTGTATTTTTTTGTGCATTTTTTGCAGGATAGTACTATTTCTGCATATCCTTCTTCTCCAATTTCAATGTAATCAATTCGGTTTATGTTTATCCATGCCCCTTTACATTTGTTGCATTCAATTTGTTTCTGATGTTTATTGAATTTGATGATGAATTCAATTTGTTGTTCGTTTAGATGCTCTTTGTTTGTTAAGTCTATTGTATCCAATGCTTCATTTGTTCCTATTCCAGGGGAGATCGGTGCACTCCTTTTTTTCCTGTTGCATCGCTGTTTGGTTTTTTGTTATCTTGTTCTATATCCATGATACCTAAAGCGGTTGATGGCGTACTTTTTTGTGTTTCCTTTTTGTGTTCTGTTTCTGTTGTTTTCACATTTTTTTGTTGATTCTTATTATTTTTTCTGGTGCTTCTGTTAACTGTTGTTGTTTCATTTAAGGTTGGCGATAAATAAGGGATACCTATCGTAACCTCCTGATCGTTGGGCGTAGGGTCGTGTGACATGCTTTGCTTGTGCAGGTGATATCTACTGCCCGACTTGTTTTATAATTAGTTCCTTTTCTGGTCAAATTGCTTTTATCGCTGATTTTAACGGGTGGCTTGGTCGAAAAAAAGTATGTAAGATGGTGGATTTACAATGCGCGATAAAACTATCTGTCGGTCCTGAAGATCCACAGGTCATAGCAAATATACCGCGTAAGCTACAGACGCGTCCTAGATTTAAGCCAGTAACGCCAGCGCGTTATAAAAGACAGCGGCTATTGAATCTCGTCCTTGGTCCGGCTCGGCCCTATTAAATAGTACAGTATAAATACCAAATGCGCATAAATAAATAAAATCATCTTTCGTCTTACTTAAAATACGACTGTACTCATAGTAGTATCTTCCTGCTATATATAGTACGCGTTTAAATAGTAGCTCTATACCTACGAATAAAAGACTGACAACTGGTAGCACCAGGACGCCGTATCTTACTCTTTTGGTTGAATTTATCACACTGATAAATTGGTCAGGAAACTTAGAAGAAAAGGTGTCCAATACGTACAAGTTTTATTACAAGATTGCAAGTCATTCCGAACATTGAGAGAAACATTCAAGAGCAATAGTCAAGGAAACTTTGGGGATTTATCAGACAGATAAATTTGACGACACTTTAATCGGTGCAGAGAGTTTTACCCACACTTTTTTATCCTTTTATTTTATTTTATTTTTCGTTTGTCTCATTACTCATTTCGACTATAATGGACAACAACAATACGCAAAACGCAAGTAGCAGTAATCCAAGGGCACAAGAGACAGGCAGCTCGTTCTCGACCATGGAAAACTGTTTTATTCAGCTTACCGCAGCAACTTTAGAGAATCAGAAAATGACACGTGAATTTTTTCTGAACCAATCAACAAGACAAGCAAAAGTCACGGAGCCAGACACGTATGATGGTACGCGTAACGCGAATATTATTGACGCTTGGACTAGGGGTGTTGAAAAATATGGCGAATTTTTTACGTGGAACACTACCACAGTTTACAAGTACGCAACGACACTTCTTCGTGGCCGAGCTGAACTATGGCATAGTCAACTGACTCCTGCGGTCGAGGACTGGGATACTTTCAAGGCGCTTTTGGTAACCGAGTTTAGGCCCACAAATGCCGATCTCATCTACCGTGATCAACTTGCAAGCATTAGACAAACCGGTGACATGGAAGGTTACGTTAATGCGTTCATGGATATTTGCCTATCTTTACCGGATCTAACGGACGATGAAAAATGTGATAAGTTCATGAGGGGGGTGGAATCAGATGGTCTTAGAGCCGAACTAAGAAATATTGATCGACGAACAAGAACCATCGGACAATTCTACTCTATTGCAACGAACTACGCTGGCGCACGTGTATTTGTAACACATGGTCAACATAAAGCATCATCATCATCTCAATATGATCCAATGGATCTTGATGCTATTCAACAGAATCGTCGCATCAACTCTTATCAAAACAGTCGTGGTGCCAATCAAGGACAGTACAATCGAGGTAGCAATAACTACAGAGGTGGTCGTGGTCGTGGCCGTGGCCGGGGTACTCAAGGTTATCGTGGAGGGTATCATGGTGGTGGACAACAATACCAAGCGAACTTAAACCCTAACATACAATGCTTTACATGTGGTAACGTGGGTCATTACGCCAGGCAATGTGCTCTAAACAGCAATGCAAGAGCTCCTCTAACCCAAGCACTTCAACCAACTAAGGCTGCTTCTAGTGAACACCCTTCTGCTTTACCATTGAACCTCATCGATTTGGACATATCAGATAATATGGAAAAGGAAGACAATAAAGCTCATAACTATTCTCGTTACGCCTATTTTGATCCTATGTGTGAAATTGAGAATGATGGTAGTCAGGATGTAAACCTTGAGAACCCTTACGTGTGTTATACCTATAATAATATACATACGGGGGAACGACCTTTTGAGCTAAAATCCATATGTCATGATACAGATCACTGTGCTTCTATCCATGTTCTGGACGATACCATGTCGTCCGACCTGATGTACATTTCGGAGTTGACGGCTCTGCGTACAAAAACGGACCTCCCACTATATGATGCTTCAGTACAACTCTATATGAATCATAAGTACGTCCCTATACGAGTACTTATTGATACAGGAGCCACAGAATGCTACATATCTCCGGGTTTGGCAGAACTGGTGGAAGGCAAACGATGTCAGGTGGATCGTCAAGTCGAAACTGCTGGTGGTACTATTGATAACATTGATGAACAAATGTGGTTTGAACTAGATTTACAGGGCTATAAGACACATGTCCCTGCTTTTGTGTACGCCACAAAATTTGATGTTATACTCGGAAACTCCTGGCTGAAGAATAATAAAGCGCATATCACATGCGAGGATGGCTCTATTATTTGTAACAGCAACACTCAAGGCCATAGGATAGTGCCAAATAAAAGCATCAAGGGTGAACCAAATAGCAACGTTGAACTAAACAGCATATATGACGCAGTTGGTAAATACTTGATATCTTCAAAGCAGGTACACCATCTTCGTAAATCAAAAGATGTAGATACGTGTCTTTTGTATGTAGTTGATAAACCCGAGACGAGCGGAGGAGCAGACGATTTTTCTTCTATCATTATCCAGTCATTCCCTTCAGTATTCAAAGATGAGCTGACAGGACTTCCACCAGACCGTGGTTTTCAACACGTTATTGATACGCAGGGTGCAAAACCAGTGAACAGACAAGCATTTCGCATGAGTCCGTTGGAGCTGGATGAGCTCAAGAAACAATTAAAACAACTGTTAGACCTTGGACTAATTCAACCTAGCTCATCACCATGGGGTGCTCCTGTGCTCTTTTGTAGAAAAAAGACAGATAATACTCTTAGAATGTGCATAGATTACCGGGCTCTTAATGCTCTTACACTGCGTAATTCTAGTCCTCTGCCAAGAATTGACGAGTGTTTGGACAGATTGAAAGGTGCTCGCTACTTCACCAGTCTGGATTTAAAAAGTGGATACCATCAGATTCGAATTCAACAAGACGATGTTCCGAAGACTGCGTTCAATACGCGTTATGGAAAATATGAATTTCTGGTATTACCCTTTGGACTCAGCAATGCACCGCCCAGTTTTCAAAATTGGATGAATGATCTATTAGGGGACTTCGTAGACAAATTTGCTCTCGTATACTTGGATGATGTGCTTATCTACAGTAACACTCTAGAGGAACATTTAGAGCATGTGAAAGAGGTATTAAAGAGATTTGAATGTGCAGGACTCATTGTCAACCGGGCGAAGTGTCACTTTGCAAAAGAAAAATTAATTTTCTTAGGGTTTGAAATCTCTGGCCAAGGCATATTACCCTCATCAGCTAAAGTAGCAGCAGTAAGGGACTGGTCTATTCCTCAAACGGTACAGCAAGTACGGCAATTTTTGGGCCTTAGTCAACATTATAGAAGATTCATACCTAATTTCAGCTCAATTGCATCACCGCTTACAGACCTGACGAAGGGAACAGGACACAAAAAGAGAGCCGTAGCTTGGACAGAGGAGTGCCAGAAGAGTTTCGACAAAATCAAGAAATTACTTACATCAGCACCTGTACTTCAGGTACCGGATATGACACGCCCTTTTGTTATCGAAACGGATTCAAGTGATTTTGGTGTTGGGGCAGTGCTTCTTCAACCAGCAACAGAAGATATCCATGCAACAGTTGACAGCAAACACACGACATGGCATCCAGTAGCGTATGAATCGAAGAAGCTATCCGCGGAGGAACAAAAATTTCCGGCCCAGGAGCGTGAGCTTATTGGGATTGTGCATGCGCTTCGTACTTGGAGATGTTTCATAGATGGATGTCAAGCAGGTTATGTCGTATATTCGGATCATAACCCTTTGGTCTACTTTCGTCAGCAAGCAAAACCTACACCACGATTAATCCGATGGATCAGCGAATTGGAGATGTATGCACCTGTCATCAAGTATAAGCCCGGTTCAAGCAACATTGTAGCGGATGCTCTTTCTCGAGCAGAGATTGAGGTATCAACCCAGGGTGGATCAGTACGTTCCTTGGAATCAGACTATTTGTACTCATTATGGGATCGATTATCACCGGGGATGGTTGCGGACTGGCCTTTGCTCTATATCAATAAAGGGGAGGAGAAGGCATCAGATGCTGAACTCAAGGATCTATTACTGAAAGAGCGTGATAAGTTCGTAGTCAAGCATAATCTGGTGTTCCGAAAGATCAAAGTCCAAGATGCAGATAAGAAACTTTGTATAAAAGAAGCCAAGTTTATACCTTTTTCCGAACGAGCTGATTTAGTTCAGAAATATCACGACGATTATGGGCATGCTTCATTCAAGTCTATGATGAACCTATTCACGGGCAGATACTGGTGGCCAACAATGCGTCGAGATATCGAGGAATGGATTGCACCTTGTCCTTCATGCCAAGTTAATAGCAAGAAAATTGTAAAGCATCAGGAGCCAATGCACCCTCTTCCGGTACCACACGCTTTTGAAAGATGGCATATCGATTTTGTAGGTGAGCTACCTTTGACTGTCAACGGAAATAAATGGTTAATTACAGCAGTGGATTACACAACAAACTGGCCGGTAGCTCAAGCGGTACCAGTCGCATCGAAAGAAGCAGTAGCCGACTTTATCTACAAAGAAATTGTCATGAAATTTGGCTGTCCAAAGGAGATTATCACGGATCGGGGCCAGAATTTTTGCAGTGGCTTAGTGGAGGCATATTTGAAACGAGTGGGCGTTAATCACAAGCTTACCTCCGCTTTTCACCCACGAACAAACTCGAAGGTAGAGAGATATAACGCAATCATCAAGGGTATGCTTCGAAAATACGTCAAAGGTAGCATTCATCGCTGGGATGATTATGTGGACACTGCTCTTTGGGCTACCCGTGTACGTGTGCATTCGACCACCGGTTTTTCGCCATACTTCTTGACTTACGGACGAGAACCTAATCTCCCAAGTGATCCAAATCAGCCTTATATTTGCAACGAGTCAATCAATGATCCACGCACTATCGCAGATTTAACCGCAAGGGAGCTAGAATCGTTAGAACAGCATCGAGCAGCAGCAGAATTCAGGTTAAAGGCAATGGGCGAGAAGGATAAGCAAAGATGGGATGCTCTTGTACAACCTATTGACTATGAAATAGGAGATATGGTGCTGGTTTCTCACGAGGGAAAATTTGGTTTGGAGCCCAATTACAAAGGTCCATATATAGTCACTCAAGTCTTAGATGGGTATGGTACGTGCAGATTGGAAACTATTCAAGGTGAACCTCTCAAGTCATTGATTCA